CCTAAGAAGCCCCGGTGGTGCAGTAGTTAAGCACTCAGCTGCTAACTGAAAGGTTGGCAGTTCAAACCCACCCACGGCTCCATGGAAAACAGACCTGGTGATCTGCTCCTATAAAGACTGTAGCCTAGAAAACCCTATGGGGCAGTTGTACGCTGTCACATGAGGTGGCTATGAGTTGAAATTGACTCGACAGACACCTAATAATAACTACTGACCTACGGGGCAATGGTGTCTCAGTGGTAGAATTCTTGCCTCTCATGTGGGAGGCCTGGGTTGACTCCTGGCCAATGCACTTCACATGCAGCCACTGCCTGTTTATCAGTGGAGGCTTGTGTGTTGCTGGGATGCTGAACAGGTTTCAGTGGAGCTTCCAGACGAAGAAGAACTAGGAAGAAAGGCCTGGAGATCTACATCTGAAAATCAGACAGCAAAAATCCTATGGATCACAATGGTCCATCTGCAACCGATTACAGGGATGATGCAGAATTAGGCAGCTTGTCATTCTGTTGCACGTGGGGTTGCCATGAGTCCATGGCTAACAACACCAAAAACCTCACTGACATCAAGTTGATTCTGACTCACAGGGACTCCCGTTGGGTTTCCAAGGCTTTAAATCTTTATGGAAGCAGACTGCCTCATCGTTCTTCCTTGGAACACATGGTGGATTTGAACCCCAACCTTTTGGTTAGCAGCCAAATGCCTTAACAACTATACTAACAACATCACTAACCTAATTCTAGTTCCCATTTCTCCCAGTATATACTAGATACTCTAGTCACTTCCCTGTTTATTTATACCTTTGCTCAAGCTGTGTCTGACTCTTGGAAAACCTTTATTTCTCTTGGCACATATTGAATCCTACTCATTCCTTGGCCCTTTGTTTGTATGGGCCAAGCTTAGGCCCTGGGAGAGGGAAGAGTGGGAAGAGCAGGAAGGGCAGAGATAGGGGCCCTCCACTTTCTTTGATCTTTATTTCTCTGGATGTTCTCCTACACACAGCGGCTTTGTCAAATGCTTCTCTGTGGCACCTACCCTGCTGCAAGGATGCCCACCAGCTCAACTGTCCTGGACCATCTAGTTGTGAGTAGAAGTAGTTCATCTTTCCTCTCACAGCTGGATAAACTGTCCTGGTCTTCCAAGCCAGAAAGGGAAAAAGTTGACATCACCAATGTTTATTCCCCTGTTCCTTCTTAGGAAAGACTCTCAATCACTTCTGAGTTAATATACCACACTCTAAGATTTCAGAGAGATGGTGGGTTTGCCAAAGGAGAGGCTGCCAAGATGGGTGTCTGGAATGAATCCAGTGTTCCATAAACCCTGCTTCCTTGCTAATCATAGAAGGAACCAAAAACTCCAGAAAGGCAGAAAAGAGCTGCAGGAACAGAAAGACACAGAAACATTATCCTGTGTTCCCTTGAACATCAGATAATACAAATGGAGAAAAATCTCAAACCCATCCCCATCTGACCCTTAGCTTCAAGGGTGTTGCTCCTTGAAAGCCCCTTCTTCCATTGGAAGTGGCATGAAAGAGGGAACCTCTCCCATCTCCAGATTCGAAAGTAGATTAGGATTTTCACAACTTTCCCTAGAGCTGGAGGAGGGGGTTGTGAAAGAAGCAGGTTTGAACGTGCCCATCTTCAAGTCTTGAGATGATGGATGTAAATGAGAAAAGGTAAAAAAGCAAACAAAAAAAACTTCACAAAACCAAAACTCAAACAGACATACACATACATGCATACACACAGAGAGAAAGAAAGGGAGAGAGTAAAAAGGAATAAATTTAGAACAAATCTCCTTAGGCAAACTTATTAATGTGATAACAAGGACAACAATCCAATTGTGTTACATGTGCCTACTGACTGACATTTTTGCAAAGTACTTGGTGGGAGCTCTGACGGTGTAGTGCCTGAGGCACTTGACTGCTAACCAGAAGGCTGGCAGTTCAAACTCACCAGCCAATCCTTGGAAGAAAGACTGGGCAATCTGTACAGATACCACCTTGGAAACCCAATGGCAGTGAAGTTCTTTATTTTTTTGGTTTGGTTTTGTTTTGGGTACATTATTAAATAGTGTTCTTACAATAATCCGGGAGCTCTGGTAGCATAGTGCCTAAGGCACTTGACTGCTAACCAGAAGGCTGGTGGTTCAAACCCACCAGCCACTCCTTGGAAGCAAAATGGGGCAATCTACTTCTGTAGTGATACTGCCTCGGAAACCCAAGGAGGGGTCGCTATGAGTCGGGTCCGACTTGATGGCACATAACAACAACAACAACACAATAATCCAATCAGGTGACAATAAAAATAACAGCTATAATTTACTAACTAATTACTATATACCAGAATTTTCATATGTTACCTTATTTAATCTTTCCAACCCCCTTCTCTGTTGTACTATCATCATCCCTATTTTGCAGAGGGGGAAACTGAGAATTGGAGAAGTTAAGTTATTTGCCCTTCAAGTGGAGACTGAAATCCAGGTCTAATTCCAGAGTCCAGTCTCTTAACTGTGACCTGGCTTTTTCACAAGTCTGGGGAGGGAAGGATGTTGAGAAGGAAGCAGCTCTTCCATCTCACCTCTTTCTGACACAGGTGCACGCAGATACACTCGGAAATACTCCAACAGATCCTGTCACCCTTTGCCTCAGTTACAAATCCATCACCAGCTTGGCTTGCACAGGTCTCCAGATGAATGACAAGTTTTCCCTAAGAACAAAGGTCAATCCTGATGGATAATACAGCTGTCATTTAACCTGTATCTGAAGCTGCAACAAGGGTTTTCACTTCATAGTCTGCAGCCAGAGACACATCCCAATTTGAGGTTTTGCTATAAAAGAGAATACTTTGAGTGAGACTGAATGCCATTTAGTAGAATGGCTTATGACATTCAAATAAATGTTCAACTTGTGAGATTCAAGCCCATGAAGAAAGAAGAAATGACTGCAGAAAACAGTAAAGCACAAACAAATGGTGACAGCTCACAAGAACTGGCTGCCGCATCCCTCATCTGATCCATCTAACACTTGCTGTTAGCTCTGTAGAGGCATCTCACACAACTGATAGGGACCTACACAGAGACACTACCCGCTGGAGCAAACCAAAAGCAAAGCAAACTCAACTGCTGTAGAGTTGGATCCTACTCACAGTGACCCCTCCTTGCATTTCCGAGGCGGTATCTCTACAGAAATGGATTGCCCAACTTTCCTTCCGAGGAGTGGCTGGTGGGTTTGAACTGCCAGCCTTCTCTTGATCAGTCAAATGCCTTAGGCACTACAGACCCCAGGGCTCTTAAGAACTTTTTTCCCTCTCCTTTCACCAAAGTATAAATGACAAGGGAGTTTCTCCTCTCTCTTCTCTCTTCCTCCCCTCATCTTTCTCTAAGCCTCCTTATCCTCCTCTCTGCTCTTTATCAACTTCAAAAGGGATAGGAGGTTGGGGGTAGTGGAAGCAGGGAGAAGATTGGTGTCAGGGATCCTGAGAGAGTAATAAAGGCCAGTGCCAATGTGCTTGGCCTCTTGAGCTCTGGAAACAGATGCGCCACCACTGGAATTTATAAGTGGTAAGAAGAGATCCACAAGCCACCTGTGACAGAAATCTCTGTGCTTTATAGTCACAGAAATAGAGAGGCATGCAAAGGGCTCTGTTTATGAATTATATCCACACACACCTACACAAAGTAGGTGGCCCTTGCATACCCACAGGAATCCTCACTCAAGCATCTTGGCAATGATACCTTTCCTTTCCACCCACATCTGTAGACCACAGCTGCCCAGTGAGAGGCAGTGGAAAGGGAGTCCTGGGACCTCAGCTACTCCCTGGATGTGAGATGTGGGCAAGCCACTTAACCTCTGAACCTCTGTAAAATGGAGAAAATACCCACCTCACTACATGCGGTCAGAATTTAAGGGGAATAATACATGTAAGGCCCTTGGCATAACTCTTGTTACTGTTGGGCCTGGCTCCTGAGCCTGTCTTTTCTACAACCCCACCTGGGCTGAAGGCACATCCTGAGCCTCTCCTTCAGGACTGTGTCTGACATTGGGAAATCTGAGGTTCCGTTGGGGTTTCCAGTCTGCACCAGGAGGATCCCAGCACGTAAGTCAAAGGTCTGCGGACCACACCAAGCCTTCAGGGCGCTAGGAGCTGCCGGCACGTGGGGCGGGCTAGTCGGTCCCAGGTGTGTGGGGCTGGGAGCAGGGTGTGCCGGTGGGGGCCCGCAGAAGCCAGGCAGTAAGTCGACCCCAGGCAGTGGGTGGCTTCCTCCTGTTGCTCTGTATCTGGGAGAGGCGGGGGAGGACATTCATTTTTTCCTGAGTAAGCATCCACCCATTGCTTCGATAACTATCGATTGTAAAACCTGGCAGCACCTCTTAAAGGCGAAGCTCGGCTCCCGCGTGCCTCCGTATCTGCGTTCTGGGGGGCCCCCTTACCCCAGGACCTCCGCCAGCTGTCGGGCAGTGATGGTCGAGGGCTTTTGCACGGACTCGCAGCTTCGGAAACCGCAGCCACGAGCTTTCATTTGACCTCTGCTTCGTCCATCTCCAGGGCCTTTCCTTCCCGGAGTCCCCCGTCACACCCTCCGACCCGATGACCTGCTCCTCAGGGTGGTTCCGGCGCCCCGGGTTCGAGGACTCCGCTTTCGCTCGTAAAGTTATTTCAAAAGATTAATGGGTTGCAACCCTCGCTGCAGCAAACTACAAGACCTGAATTTCCCGAACCCTTCCCCGCCCCCATCCAGCAGAGGCGACCCCAGCCCGCTGCAGAAGCCAGGCAGCACCGAGTGCCCCAGCAAATCCACCATCTCCCTATCCTGAGCTCTCCAGTGCCATGGGGGGACCGGAGCTCAACGCAAACTCACAGCGCGGAGCAACCCCAGCCCTGGCCTGGAAGGGATCGGCCTCCAGCTTGGCAGTTCGGAGAAATACTTGTGATTTCCTGCCCCGGCCTACCCTTCTGCCTCGCCCCAGCCCTCTCAGCAGTGCCGTCGCAGCCCCTCTGTACCTGCAGCGGTCACGGGATCCCCCTCGCTCTGTTCGCCAGAGTCCGAATCCATGCCGCCGGCTACTGGCCGGGCGTCCGCCGCCGCCCGGCGTCCCACCTCCGGCTCCGCGGTGCACTTGGTGTGGGAAAGGGGGCGGCGCGGGCTGGGTGGTGCGCGACCACCTCGATCCGGGGGCAGCTCAGCAAAGGCGAGGGCTTCCCGCCGCCCGCGCCCCGCACCCGGCGCCCGCGGGCCGGTGCCTGCGCGAGGCTAGCGCGGGGCTGAGGGTGGGGCGCGCCGGGAGAGAGCCGGGAGGAGGTGGGGAGGCGCTAGCCCGGAGAAGCCCGAGCGAGAGGCGCACCGCAGGTTCCAGACTGGGGTTAAATACCCCGGGGGCGGTGCCGCTCCTCCCTGCGCGCGCCCAGGACAGGCTGCCGCTGCGAGGGTGTGCGGGGCGGCCGGGTTGTGCCCCTTCTCTTGGGTGTGGACTAATTTGGAGGAGTCTTAGGTGAAAAAGCACCTCTATCAGCGTGGAAAAAGGAGAGGTTCCGAGTGAGAATTCTGGCACTGCTCGGGTTAGAGTCCGAGTCCGAGTCACCAGCTCCAATAGTTTGGTCAAGTGGCTCAACCTCTCTGTGTCTGTTTCCTCATCTGGAAAATTGAGGTGATACTTCGTTCGTCGTAGCAACGTAGTGGGAAGTACGTAAAATAATGCTTGTGAGGTACCAAGTTCAGAGAGTAAACAACACACAGCAAGCAGTGGCTACTCAGGCAGTTACTATTATTCGCGCGGCGTGGGCGGAGCAGGTTGGGGAAGTGGTGGTTGAGCTGGTTCTTAGGCCTGGGTGCGTCCGAGCCCTAGCCACTCCGTCTACACCCGCCCTGCCAGTCAAGGAACAGTGACACTTACACGCAGCCAACTTGCGGCGCAGGAATTGATTTTAAAAACCTTTTCTTTGTCTGGTGGGGATTAAACACAGAATGCTGAACTTCCTCACCAACTCCCTCCCCATTTTCCTAAATTTTTTTTCTTTATTTATTAATTAAGTGAGTAAACTAGGGAAAACTAGCGGGAAAAAGCACTGAGATGTTAGGGCCCAAGAGATCCTTTGTTGTTAGTTCTTGATTATCCACGCAGTTTTATTGTCTGCGGAGTTAACAGCTCCAACATTTACATAATCTCAGGCTGGCTCCTCTGCATACAAAGTGTGCTCAGAGAATGCAAACTAATTTTATTGACCTGGGCAAAACGAAATCGCGAAGAGAAAGCCTTTGAAAAAGCTCCATTTATTGAGTGTTTCCTGTGTGCACTCATTTACTTGAAAACGACCTAGTGAGCAATTTAGGTTGAGACGATGGAATTTGCCACTTGGAAGTCAAAAATGCTTGAAAGTTGGCAGTTTCACAGAGCTCAACATAGGCTATTTTCGGTATTTACAGGTGTGGAAACTGAACGTCAGAGAGTGTAGGTAACTTTTCTGTGGTCTCACATTCAATAAGTGGGGGAGTTGGGACTTACTGAAATCAGGACTGTCTGATATCCAAACCTACTCCTAACCCCTATGATAAAAGGTCACAAGTGAGTTCTGGCTTCTTGGCTACCTGGGAGCCACCTTTAGTGATGGTTGTGGGCTTTACAGAGTGCAAATGCAACTCCATGTGTGTTCTTAGAAAGTTTTCTGAATGACCAAACTCATACACTTTAGTGAGAAAGTTGGATGGATTTCCCAGGAATAGCCACGAGGCCCACTCTAGATATGTCATGACTTTGGACGAGGGCTTAAGCACCCTCAATTTCCTCGTATGTTGGCTTCCCTTTCATAGGGTGTTGTAGAGTAAATGAAATAATGGGTGTGGAAACTATTACCCAATGCCTGGCACAAAGTTTATGTTCAATAAATGTTAGCCATTATAGATAGAACATTAGTTCTTAGATCTAATGGATCCTATTTAGAAAAATTACATTTTAAATGAAAAGAAAAAAGGAATGGCAAAATTTTGGTAACAGTTGATACTCAAAAAGACAAATAACCATGGGATCATTTAAAAAGCTTGCCATAAGAGCTTTGTGGTCTTAAGGAAAAACAGCAATGATAGCTTCCCAGAACAAAGCACATTGGATTAAAAAGACATTCAGCTTCCTCTAAAAGTTAATATTCAACAACAGGAAACATCCCTGTTCCCTCAGACCTCTTTTCCTGGCACTTGATAGAAGATTTTTTTTTTTTTTTTAAATGGACAGGTGGTCTAGATTGAAGGATGAGGGAAACAGAAATAAACAGAGACATCTATGCATAGCAGCAATGAAAGAAAACAGGGAAGCCCAGTTATTAGAACTTGGTCAACAGTGAGCAACGTACCAGGAGAACACATTTATAATACCTGTATGCCTATCAGTCATTGGACCTCTACTGAGTACCTATTACATTTCAGCCCCAAGACAGAATGCTGAAGAGGAGGAGGCACTAGCCAAAGTGACCCTGAAAAGTCTATGAGGTGAGTCTTTAGCTAAACAACACTTATTAATTTATATGTTCCTATATTCAGTTATAGGAGCTCTGGTAGCATAATGCCTAAGGCACTTGATTGCTAATCAGAAGGCTGGTGGTTCAAATCCACCAGCCACTCCTTGGAAGGAAGGTTGGGCAATCTACTTCCATAATGATACACCTTGGAAACCCAAGGCGGGGTCACTTTGAGTCGGGTCCGACTCAATGGCACACAACAATATTCAGTTATAGGGAGCTCTAGTGGCGTAGTGCCTAAGGTATTTGATTGCTAACCAGAAGGCTGGTTCAAGCCCACCAGCCACTCCTCGGAAGGAAGATTGGGCAATCTAGTTCCACAGTGATCTAGTTCCTCAGAGCCCTAGAAGGGGTTGCTATGAGTCGGATCCGAGTTGACAGCAGTGAGTTTGGTGATACTCAGTTATGAGGAGGCCTGGTGGTGTAGTGGATAAGGCATTGGGCTGCTAATCAGAAGGTCAGCAGTTCAAATTCACCAGCCACACTGTGGAAAGAAGATGGGGCAATCTACTTCCATAAAGATTTACAGCCTCAGAAACCCAATGGTGGTCGCTATGAGTCAGAATTGACTTGATGGCAGTGAGTATATTCAGTTATGGAAGAGTCCTGGTGGTGTAATGGTCAAAGCACTTGGCTACTAATAAAAAGATTGATGGTTTGAAACCACCTAGTGTCTCCATGGCAGAAAAGAGCTGGTGATCTGCTCCCATAAAGATATCACAGCCTGGGAAACTCCATGGGGCAGTTCTACTCTGTCATATAGGGTCTCCATGACTTGGAGTTGATTCAGTGACACATAACAACAACAACATATTTGCTCATAATATATTTCTGCCAAAGGGAGGAAGACGTAGAAAATTGACAGTGACAATGAAATCTCAATGAAATAACAAAGAAAAATTGAATATGGAGTTAAACAATGGAGAAGAGAGATCCAAACTAAATAAAGTCCCCATTCCAATTTCCTATGATATACAATCTGTTGTCATGGGACAGCAAGACAAAGGGAAATGAGTGCTGGCACACTGTGTGTTTAATGAGGAACATGAATGGAACTTACCTTATCTATCTTTTCAGCATGGAAAACTCTGTGGAAGAGAAGGAAGTCCTTAAATTAACATCCCACTGCCATCACTTGCATGAAATCTGAGGTGGTGCATCTCCCTTCCATACAAACCAAGCTCATAGAGAAAAAAGGGCTTCTGTAATTCCTTTGTGTATTTTTAGAAGAATGGCATCACTTTACAAACTTCAATCTAGAGTCTGAGGGTTATAACCGCCTTCCTCAATGTTTCCACTACATCTTTTCAGGTTGGCTGCTCTTCAGAATACACGAGTTTCTAACTCTTATTGGTCATTCCTTAGCTTCAGCAAATGAAATTGTGGACTTTATAAGGGAATTGCCTATCTGTCTGGTGGGAAAAGCATGTATCTATTTGTAAGGTGTCAAGAAACAGATAATAAAATAGATCCATTTCTGCTAACACAGTAATACTCCTTTAATCCGAGCCAGTGCTATGACTCATCTGCCTGTCTCTTGTGGAATGGAAAGGGAGCTGTCTGCAGACCTTCAGCAGCCGGGAAGAGGGAGGGAGGGGAGCTCCTTCCGCACGGGAGGGCTGCTGCTCTGCTTCAAAAACCCACAAGCTCTGGAGCAGCTGTTTTCTCCTTGGTCCATAGGAATGAGAGGTTGGCCAGGACAGTCCCTGTTTTTGATAACTTGTCTCAAGGTGGACACTAGCTTCCATGAAGCTTCTAGTCAGTGCCAAGGTGGCCTCTATGTGGCTGTAGGTAAGCTCCAGAGTGGGGTCTGAGTTGGCTATATATCTGTCTGGCAGAACAGGGCTCTGGGAGATAGCCTTGAAAGAGGAACCTTTTCCTATTCTTTTTTTTTTTTTTTAAAAAAAAAACTTTATTATGCTTCTGGTGCAATTTTATAAAGCAGGCTCCTTTTACATTCAACAGTTCATAAACTTTTGTTCCCTGACACTGATTACAATTCCCACGTGTAGCAGCTCTCCTCCCACCTCCTCCCTGTGGTTACAGCTTCCCTCTGTCCTTCTTACCTGTGCATTCCTGGCTGCCTAGCTTTCTCCTGCACAAATGCTGCTCTTCTCATCTCCAGGGCTTGACTGTTCTAAGGAGTACATCTCTCTGCTGTAGTTGTTCAGCTTGTGGGCCTGTCTATTGTTTGACTGTGAGTTAAGTGACTGGACTTAGTCCAATCTAGGCCTGAAGGGAGACTTGAAGCCATAGTTGGTGGGGTTTCACCAGTCTTTGTCCGACCAGTAATCCTGGACAGTTTTATGTTTCTGAATTTTGCTCAACATTATTTTTTCCACTCTATTCCTTTCTTGCCAGCAAAAATAAGCTTTTATTCCCCCCCCCCTTTATTTCAGAAGCACTGCATGCATGTCCCTGTAAAAAAACTAGAAAATGTATATAAGCAAAAAAGATGAAAACATTTAAATCCATTAATAATTCCACCAGTTGCAGTCTTTGTTAACATGCCTTTTGAAAAATTTCAAAATGCCTGTGCAGCGTTCTGTTTTTGTAGCTTTCTTTTTCCCTTTAATAATATGCTATGAACATCATTCCATCTATTCCTCTACTGTGTGACATTTAATAGTTGTATAGTATAACATTAGGAGGTCTGGTGGCATTGCCTAAGGCATTTGACTGCTAACCAGAAGGCTGGTGGTTCAAACCCACCAGCCACTCCTTGGAAGGAAGGTTGGGCATCTACTTCCATAGTGACACTGCCTTGGAAACCCAAGGAGGGGTTGCTACGAGTTGGATCTGACTCCACAGCAATAGCTGCATTTTGTTTGCATAGTATTACATTGTATGGGTGTACCATAGTGTATTTTTTAAAATCCTCTTTTATTGGGCATTTAGATTGTTTCCAATTTTCTGCTATAATAGCATCAGTGAACGTGTTGAAATTTTTGCACACATCTTTAATCAATAGCTATGAACCTTCACCAGCCTCATTTGTTCTTGGGAGAGAAACAAGACAGAAAACTGCAGCTAACAGGATAATTGCTGTATAAATCTCAAGACTTTCAGGTTATCAAGAATTTTTGTGGGCACAATCTTTTCTAGGTAGAGGGTGAGTTATTTAAGTTCATTTGTTAAGCATTGCTTGAGCCAAGAGAGGTTTTGTTTATCTAAGCTGAAGAGGAGTAGGAAGTTTCCCTCCATACTTTCTTTGTGGGCAGTGTGTCCTCAGAGCAGCTCCATCTAAGTCCATACACCTTGTGGGAAACAGAGTGGATGAAGCTGGCCACTTGGGTATCAGGCCATACTAATCCTTAGCTTTGGCCCTCATGAGCTACCCAGAAGTTGACTTCCTGAGTAGCTGATGCAATGATAGTGTCTCTAAAGCACTGATTCAGAGGGTGAAGGAAATTGAGAAAGAGGGATGGGGAAGAGAAAGTGGGAGAGAGCGAGAGAGAAGAAAACGCACTAGGCCCAATCTAGACCAC